TCAATGTAGTTTACTTGCTTATCAGTTTTATATCTCTCAGTGTAATTTCAAAAGTATATATATCCGTGTCTGTAGAGTATTCAGCTGAAGACTAGTTCTACCGAAATTTGATGAATTCTTTAAATCCTGCCTTATTAACCCTTTTTGCTTGTTCCAAGAGTTTGTTTTCAGTCATCTGATTTGTTTTAAATTTGACTACAGATTGATGTCGATTGCAGAACTATTGCAAATCACCTAATTGTACTTGATGGCTGTTTCTTCTTTGTTTATGACTCTTCAGAATTATACAGAAGCTAAAACTCATAGAAAAATAAATCGGATACCAATAGCAAAATGATATGCGCTCATTCGCATTTTGAACCTAAGTTCCTTGATTCAAAACCCAGTGGTTGCGCATTGATGATGAGTACCAAACTAGGACGAAGCAGCTGCTACATTACTGGTTCTGAATGGTTCTCTCACTGTAATAAATCTATGATCAAACTTGAAACCAATCTAATTCATACAAAGGTACTCTTGGGAACTATATATATATATATATATATATATATATATATATATATATATATTAAACGATGCCATCTTGTAAAAGAAGTGAGTAAACTATGTTTCAATGGAAATGTTATAGGATCGACGTATGAAAATAGAGGGATCTAGAATACAAGCGAGGAGTGTTGGTAATGTTGTCAGTTGAATAAGTCTTAATTAACCAGAGAAAAAGATAATGGCTGTACGAACAAAATGCTTTTGAAATGAAAGTGTAGGCTCAATTCTTGTTCGAACACCTATTGCTTAAGCTCTATGTGAAGTAGATGAATACAACGTCTGCCGGAAAGACTCAGTTTGACTCGATAAATGACTACCTTGAATGCTTTCTTTTTCCCAACTACATGACCACTATCAGCTAAATATGACAAAATAAAGGTAGGAATGGTAAAACTATCTAACTTGTCGACTACAGACGCACAAACTTAGGTTTGCTGCTGGTCAAAACGTTCTTCGTATACTTCATAAAAGTCTGTAGAAAAAAATCTCACTTGACAAGTCATCGTTTGTTTTTCTTAGCCGTTATCAACTACTACATCGAACTAAAAACATTTATTTCTTTATTCATTCTGTTTATCATCAGTATTCTTGTTATCGCATCTTTGTTACTGACAGGATCACTAGTATTATTATTAATTATTAATCGCGAACAGTATTATCATCCTAAGAACAAATCAGTAAGATTGGCTTACATTTGAATGTTTATTCGTAAAGTTATGTGGAGATACTAAGGTTAAGCCTGACGAGATCTAATTAAAAACAGTATTGTTCGATTAAATGTGTTGTTCTAAATTTTACTAGGGGTATGTGATATATACACGTATGTATATAAAACCTCATGCCAAGTCAAGAATATGATTCAATATGTTTTACAATTTTAGTGATTGTTTATCTCCATAATCAACCTAATGCGACAGAATTAGGTAGAATTTTCGAAATTCTCTCAAGTACACACAAGCGTCCCTAGCTCCTGCTGCCAAGTAAATTATGCTGTTCGTCACTGTTCTCATGAGATATGGTGGGTGTTCCCCGCAAAATAGTGCAAAGGAAGAATGCGAATGTCTCGAGTTTACAACCAGACTGGTTAGTAGACATGTATATCTGTCTTGAGGAGCTATAAACTCCTGTGAATGATTGAAAGATGTACAAATCAGCAACCGTATAAACGTAGCTGGTGGATCAGAGGTGAATAAAGAGGCTGGTGTGAGTGTGACCCTTTAAGATAACCACCTCCTACTTCGGAATAGGTGGCTTCCGGGCAGTAATCCAACTGTTGTATAAGCTGTAGGACAACTTTTTGAGGCGCATTTCTTGGTGCTCACAGTGTACTAAGTTTGTATTTCAAAAACAATGATAATATTATTAATAATAAACCGCACTGTATTTATTTAAATCTGAAAAATCTAGAAGTACAATCTAACCAATCAATAATGAATGTATTCGGCTACTGATCAATATAAATAACCGATAAATTCAACAGAAAATCTTAGATTTTAAATTATCTTATATGGGCATGTAACCTCTCACCTTATGCTACTTATTTCCATTGACTGAAAATAAATTAGTCTGTGTAGGTAGTAGTTTAACATAAATATCTTCTCTTACTGAAAGAGTTGGAAGAAGAGAGTGGAACATTTAAACCAAGCATGCATTTTCCTTAATCAGTCATAAGAAATAACCATCCGAACATTAGAGAGAGAAGTGAACGCGATCAGCTTAGCAAAACAGATATCAATCTCAACTTCAAATAAGTAGCTGTTGTACAGTCTCATATTTAAAGGCACATAAGTTTATGTAGTTAGAATTACAAAGTGAACAGGTATCTACTAAATATAATGTCTTTCCAGCTTCTTTGAGCTTTAAAAAAGCTGAACATATGCATCCTGAAACCAGAGATCTGTGTATATCAGAAGAAACTAGTCCAACTTTTACACACTTTGTCGGCATAACGATCGCTTGGATCTGATTAGACGAAATTAAAACATGTATGATTCTCGATTTTAATTTTGCATTTTGTACTAGATTATTGATTATGCCTAACCAAAATTAACCCGCTGCAGAAGAAGTGACTGTCGTGGTGGCTCTCATGACCTTCCAGATAATGCTTTGCTATTTGAAACAATGTGTTCTGGTGGCATTCGAGTCTCAGTGGGAGGGAGCATCATGACTCACTCACCAAAAGACGAGTCTCAAAACTAAACGTAACGAAAATCCTGGACATCATACTTTTAAAAGTCATTCACCACTTAATGATCCGAGATCAGTTGCATAAGTCAAACTGATAGATCGAGGTCACTCAGATTATCAGAAATAATCTATGTGTGTAAGACTTTGACACTGTGGTTAGACAAATGGTTTAATTTGATGCCAAAAAAGTAATAACTCATCGGAATGAATGGTGTTCTTAAACCCCATAAGTTGGAATATCCCTTTTTACCTGTAGCCGACTTAAGAAATTCACCCATTAATGAAGTGTGTAAATATTTAGCTATGGTACTAAATCCACTTAGAATCCAATCGACATCTTAACTAACAAATTCTTGTCAACTAAATATAAGATCATATAATTTATTAATTAGATAGTGATGAGAAATGATTAGTTTTGAAATCGTCAGTTTGCATACAAAACCACCGATAAATATGACGATGAAAGTGGTCAGTAACCGAATCATTTCTCACCAACATGAAAATAAAGTTAGCAGAAACGTATCGCTGGCAGGCACTATGCTAGGAGTGCAGGAGTTTCAATGAAAGCGTCGATGTATTCTGATATATTCATGGCTATATGAAAAGGCTTAGAGACTGAACCGTTCAGACTCACCCATTCAAAGCATACTGGAGGTGTGTAGATGACACATTAACCGTACCGGGAGCACAGAACATAAATAATGGAGAAGATTTGCAGTGCATGTGGATAATTCTGATTTAATTATGTTCTCTGAGCTGGTTAATTGAAATGAGAAGCCTTTGTTCTCCTCCTTCTGTTCTTCGAAAAGATGAACTTGTTGGTAGACGCAATCCGTAGGGGAAGCCTCCACTGTCAGATTGCAGCATGAGACTGAAAGAAGGGTGGGAAGTTGAACAGTAGTGTGTTTACAGGAGATGGACACTTTTGAGTCGATTTAGATTTAGGGATTTCTGTCCATCTAATTATATCTGAGTATTAATCGTATTGGTGAAATGTGTGAGTAATAGGGCACATAAACTAAGTAATACCAGGGAAAAAATGTAGGATGGGAAACCACATGATATTCGAGAATCTTTAAGACCTAATAACTGCCTAGATAAATTAATGAGGGATTATGTGTCAAGATGTAGAATTGAATTTGATGTTAATAATGGTGTTTACAGAGATAATGATGAAAATAATCAAACGTTAATGGTTATAATAAGGACGACATGTGCAGAATGATGAGAAGGCTAACGATAAGGAACTCGAATCCTCAATGGTATTTGGATAGAAAGTAGGATCTTGAGAAAGCTTAAGTGGAATTCCTGATACAAGGTGAGTAAATGATGTGTCAGTCAGCCACCGTTGACGGATTCACCCAAAAACAAGCTGTGTCGGTTCGTAGGATAAATGGCACATGTTTTTATTTTCTTTATATCCCAATTGGATTTTTCCACGAATTTAGAATATTCAGCGAAGCGTTCTAGCAAATTTTAACGAATTCATCAAATCCTGCTTTATTAACATGCACATTTTGTCAGTTTGAGAACCGGGAAGTTGGCAGGAGAAGCTGGCAGGAGAAGATGGCGCTTCAAGGATACATTGTGAACAAGACAGGCGCCATTGAATTACCCCTCCAACCAATCAACCAACAACAAGTTTCAATCACCAATTACTGTGAATGGAAGAGATCTAAAGGAAGCCGCTACCATCAGTCACTTGAAATAGGCAGCACTTTTGCAGCTACAGGTGGCTGTACAGATGAGGAAGTCAAAGATGGGATCGTGTAGGTGAGACAGACAGACATTCGTTACTCTGAAAATCAGTATGGAAATAGACATCATGAATTCGACATAAGGTACTAAATCCGGATGTGCCCCATTGACGTCAAACCAATCTGTGTCTCCATATGGTTTTGGAACTTGGTACCAAAGTTACGGAGGACATTATTAACTGACAGCCTCTTTCGCCGTCTCCATAGTAAAGATCAGATGACTGACCAGGAATGATAAGCAAAAAGAAACTCTGACAGTCAACAAACCAATCAACAAATATGCTGAAGTAAATTGAGATGCGCTAAGGAGACCGTTGAGTGACATCACGCTCAAAGTATGAATGAAAAACTACAAATTTTTGCATACAAGGGTGAATTCATGGGGACATATGGCGAATAGGAGGAAATCAGGGCTTCCAGGCAGTCATCAATGTCATCAATGAAAAAAAGTGTACTTGAAAATAAAAAGAGCAACACAAAAATAATGGAAAAGAACAGGAAAGAACTTACGGTAACGGTGTTATTGACGAACTGAAGAGATTTTTATTTGAATTTCCTTTTCACATTAAATATAATGAATATGATTGCATACCGTCCTACAGGATTTTGATTGGTTGAAAAAATTAGACCAATCAGATTCCAGTATAAAAAATATACGTTGTATTTAAAATAAAAAAGGAAGGGGGCTACTGGATAGCGTAAAGGCTCCACATACCTCCTAGACGGTTGAAATACAGAGATTAGATTATGCATTTATTATTTCTTTGGATTCTAAGTGGAACATCGCCCTTCAAAGTAAACACCTCTACTTTCAGTTCTGGATTGTGTAGTCCTTATTCAGTTGCCCCCACGATTTTCCCTAAGATTCCATCTCCACTTTACACGATATCTTGCATATCAAACTCAGATACCCGACTCACTGTTTCCAATTTTGGTTCCATTCGAATGGCGACCTGGTATGCAATGTCACTCTCTGGCCTCAGCTAGTGTCTGAATCATCTCTATTCTCTAGGACATATTTCATGACCAATAGGTTCTCGTCCGGTTCGTTCCTAGATTTCCTTTAGCTTATAGTTTCTTTACTGCAATCTAGTATTCAGCATGGATTCAGTGAAGGCAGCTGTTGAAAAAATGTAAACAGTAGGCTATTCAAAAAACGTTTGGTGATACATCAAGTCTCTGAATCATATAACAGAAGTGACTGGACGTTAGTGATGAAAACCCGTATCTTGTCTCTGACGCTGATTGCAGAAGATTTTTGGAATGACTTCAGAGTGATTAATGTCAGTCTGTCTTGCTTTTCCAATCCTATCTCAGACATTCTTATGAGTGCCGTGGTCTTAAGTTGAAACCATGTTGCTTTAGTAAATCGGTTGTTGAAATGCTGACTAACCACTCAAATTTGGGCCGGCTTAGATTCTCAGTCGCCAAAACAATTCTTAATCTCGACTAGCTTACGTAAAGTCTGTTAAAGAGGGTAGGATGGCTGGTAACTCTACCCCATGAAAATAACACCATCACTACTGAAATGCTCTAATAAATAAGGGGATAACGAATCCTTCGAGATAAGAAATACTACCTGTTTACCTCAACTTTTCCTTCTTAGGCTCAGAAAAAGACCGATGGAGAAGTGTCAAGCTAGCCAGCCTACCACCAGAATGTAAACCAAATCCCCGCAGAAGACTTCAAGCACAACAGAGATTTAATTGGATGAAGACGTTTGGCTGATTCATCTCCACTTTCTCCTACACATTTGTTGAACGATCGGCTTTTGGTTGGTTTGTTCCCAGCTAGCCAGAGTTTCTTGTTACTAATTCTTTCTGACCAGCTGGCCATTTTCATTTTTAGTATGAAGCCAGCGAATCAGGCAGCCGATGATAAAGGTCTGCAACATGTTGAGAATCTTTTTCATGACACGTCAGTCAAGTTTATGACCCGTATAGAAGGACTAGCTCACCTGATATTGATGTTGAAAATCACAATCTTGTTGTTTCTGCTGCCTGGGTTACAGCAGAAGATTTCAGAACTGGTTTCAGGTTTAGGAAGGCGTGCGTTCCTCGCTTTTCCGATTCTGGCTGGCTGGCTGGTTGGCTGGTTCGGCCTGTAGTTGGAATGATGCTTCCTGGCTGGATATAATTTAATTCTATGTCGTAACGAAAGAGATTATAGGAGATAATACTTTTTTAGCTTGATATAAAAGTGGAAGAGAACATAAATTATAAGTGATATAAAACAAAACTGAGTTCAGAAAATAGTTTCACAATATATAACCTAACGAAGAAAAGTGCTAATAGAATTTTTGTCGAGAAAAATCAAATTAATAGGTTTCATAAATGAAGATGAAAAACTTGACAACTAAGATGTCGTACGTAACTAGACCTGTGATAAAGGTTGTAGAAGTTGAACATCAGCCTTGGACTCTATACCCTGATCTCTAAGCATGGTGCTGGGTTAATAAATGGCTTTACTCCTACTTTCCAGATAGTAAGCAGTACACCTTAACCGTGGACCTAGGTGAAGAGAATGGCGGAAATAAGAGCAGAATAGAGATGTGTTTTTTGAAGACTACGTCTTATCTGCAGCCCAAGAAAATAATAGTAGTATATTGAAACTTTTGTATGTATAGAAATGCGACTATACAGTTAGCTTTCAAAGGCCCCTTGATTGCTCATAGTATTTCATCCTAATAAAAATTCAAAAAGTTATCTGTCTCATTGTGTAGCTCTAACACTCTTCCTTACTCAACTTCTCTGATGTATTGATTGATAATATTAACAATGACGATTGTGACAACAATTCGTCATTTTTTTTACTATTGTATCTTCTGAAAAAGAAATGCTACAGCTAAAGAGAGGAAATGAATTTCCGGGAGTAATGAATAGATGTCTCTTCAGCTTAGTATGACGCTTTTCCGCAGTACGTCCTGGCCAGGACTAAAACTCAAGATATTCTGGTTACAATGGAAACTCGCAGACTATTCAACAATCAGGATCTGTTTTAATGACCAGTCCATAAATCCCAACTTCTGACAATTCATGAAGTACATCCGTCAGTCAATGTAATCGACGAGCACCCGTCGCCTTTAGTCACGACTTCTCATTAGAATCTGGGTAAATTTCAGAATAGAATCAGTCACTAGTAAGCATCAGGGTGATTTCAAAGTATTGGTTTGTTTGTTCGTTTGTTTTGCAGGTTTGACCACGAGTTGACATCTCTTACTCGAATTTGCCATTCACTGATGATTGTGGTATGTATTGTGAGTAGGCATAGGCTGAGATTCAACGGCTATCAGATTGAGTCTCACTGCCTGAATGATCTACGGGCCCACCTTTCAGTTGGAAAGTCTTGGGTTCGAAATCTGGTGGCTAAATAGTGCTGGGGCACCCTGAACTGGGCAGACGAAACACCCGTCTAGTACTCCACTGTTGATGGCTTTCAATGGTTATCAAACAGTGTGATATTAGTCAGCTCGTGATCAATGGTTTTTTTTGAGTTTTCGTTTTTTTAAATGGAAACACTGAACATCCCTAGTTTGACTTCTTTCTGTTTCACTCGTGTGTTTTTTTTCCGAAAAGTTGTTCTTATTTTTCTGATTTTCTGAACAACCTAAAGATTATTATACATATATTTATGTACGTAAATATGGGTCGTTGTATGCACGCATCAGTTACATAATTAGGTCGTTAGATATCTATTCCTAGCTTTGTCCTAATTTTTAGTTTCAGATATTCTTTTTGGAGAAAATAATTATTGCCATCATTATTATGATTTTCTCGCTTCCTGTTTGATAACATTTCAAAAAACAACTGAGAAAAAAAGAAACTAAAAATTAAGACTTTTCTCCTTCCCCCCTCTTTTCCAGTTGCATGCCTTTCTAGCTTCCTAATTTTTTCTGACCGACCGACCGACCGACCAACAGTTCAACCCCTTCCACCCCCCCCCCAAAAAAAAAATTGAAAAACTCATGAAAACAGACAACCCCTATTATTATTTTGTTCATTGGTCTTCTCTTTATACCATGTTTTCGAATGGGGAAAAAACTAGAGAGTTGAATAATGGCACAAGAGCAAATAATTCCTACTTGGCCTGTTCTTATTCCACTGTTTCTGTTCGATTTAAACTTGTGCTTACTTAGCTTTGTTAACTAATAATAATAATAATAAGAAGAAGATGATGAATAAACAACTCATTTCCGTTTAATAATAATAATTTGTTATATACTAGAGGAGATTTGTAGCTCAGGTGGATGATTTCAATTCACTTGTATTCCCTAATTGATTGATTCTATGCTAAAAACAAAATTTTTAAGTTCCTCCAGTTAGTCTCAATTAGAATTCTACTTCAGCTGATCCTATGTGGAAGCTTTTATTGTCTTTGACAGTAGTCTATGCGTTTATCAAAAGTTCGGAATCTTTTTATTCAACAATTTGAATGATCTTCCATTGGATATTAACCTGATTAATATTAAGATAAAAACGTAATATAATGGAAGTCAGCGTCATGGATTCAATAGTAGAATGCTCGGCAGCCACAAAAGGGTTCAGGTTCTACTTCCTGCTGACGCGCTCCTAAACCTAAAACTGAAGTTTAGAAGTCATGTGATTGTAATTGTTATGATTATGAACAATAATAAATTTTGTTCGAAACGTCATCTAGTAAATAATACTGTTTCACTGTGTGATATATCTAATAAACAAACTAATATGGAATTACTTACTACCACAGTGCCCAAGTTTTACTCATGTATTAAACCTCGCCTAGCTTACTGACACATAGCAAGCCTGGAAAAAGGACTGAAACTTCCAAACTTGTATCCCTATGTTCCGCTTGGAACCCAAAGGGCAATACTAGTCACCATTGATTTAGCTATTAATCAATTGATTTAATTAACTGTGAAGCCCTCGTTCAGTGAGAACTTTTATACGAAATGAACTTATAGTTCGGTTAGTAAGGGTTAGTTATGTTTCTACGAGTTGATTACGGATTGATATCAGTTAGAGAACCATTGAAAACCAGGGAGTACTGGACAGCTGCTGTTTCGTCCTGGTTTGGTTGGGGTCGCGCTAAGTCACGAATTGGTAGAAGTTAGAGTTCATGAGCCATTGAATCGTATCCCAGTAGCTGAGTGGTATACGAGCTTGACTTGTAACCGGAATGTCCTGGGTTCGAATCCCAGTGGGTGCGTACTCCCGATGATTCCCAGACTAGGATGAAACAGCAGCTGTCCAGTACTCCCTGGTTTTCAATGATTCTCTAACTGATATCAATCCATGATCAACTCGTAAAAAGGAATGAACTTAATTGAATTCTCCATGATTGGTGGTGATATAATGGTATCTGCTGAAAACCTTTGTCGTGATTTGCTCTTATTTCACATCTTTAGTGATCATTTTTATTGCGAACAAGATGATTCCTGAGAGAGGTTAAGGAGATCAACCTATTTATTTTATCGTGGCACTTGAAATCTGTCAGCCCTTGAACTGACAATCAGTGTTCTCCAATAGATTGGTATTTGTTTGTATGTACCTTGTGGTAATTGTTTTCCTCGCACACCACT